TCCACCACCACTCTCTGGGTGCAGTCCCTAAGCCAGTTGGCCACTCACCTGACCGTGTAGGTGTCCAGTCCACAGTCTGCTAGCTTCCCAATGAGAATAGGGTGCGAAACTGTGTCGAAGGCCTTCCTAAAGTCCAGGAAGATGACATCAGCCTCAGCTCCCTTGTCCAGGCAGTGTTGTGTGACCTGGTCACAGAAGACTACAAGGTTTGTCAGGTAGGTTCTACCTGTGACAAACCCGTGCTGGTTTCCCCTCAGCATCGTTTCCCCTGCTGGGCCTTCACAAATGTGTTCTTTGATTATTTTCTGTATCATTTTCCATGGAATAGAGGTAAGACTGACTGGTCTAAAGTTACCCAGCTCATCCCTTCTCCCTTTCTTGAAAAAGGGCACCACATTGGCCCTTCTCCAGTCCTCAGGGACCTGGCCGGAGCACCACGAGTGCTCGAACCGCTATGCCAGCAGCTCAGCTATGACATTGGCCAATTCTTTCAGCAGCCATGTATGGAGGTCATCCGGGCCTGCTGACTTGTACCCATCCAGCTCCTCCAGGAGCTCCTTAACTATTTCAGAACTAAGCTTAGGCAGACTGGTGCCTTGTGGATATCTGTCAATGATTGAGGTGGGGGAATTAGCTTGGTTGGTACTTAGAAATACTGAAGCGAAGAACTCATTGAACAGCTTTGCTTTTTTCCCCGCATCAACCACCAACTGTCCTGATTTGTCCTGCAGGGGCCCTATGTTGCTCTGAGCTTCCCTTTTGCCCGCTATATACCTGAAGGACTTTTTATTGTCCTTGATTGGTGAAGCCAGCCTGAGCTCAAGCTCTGCCTTGACCTGTCTAACTGATTCCCTGCAATAGCGCACTAGGGAGATATATTCCTCCTTGGTGTCTGCTCCCTGCTTCCATTGCCTATGAGGAACTGAAGCTTGGGGTTCAGCTTCTGTCTGTCCTGTTCCAGAGGGTTCCAGGTGTTGTTACTGAGCATGTAGCACCCTGGCATAATGGTGGGTTACCTCATCTTTTGTTTCTTGAATGCTGCGGGTGGTTCCAAGGGCTGGGTCGTTGGTTCAGGTATTGGTTTTTAATGGTTCGGTCATTCAGAGGGAGCTTTTTCTAGACCTATTGCCATTATCCACACTGAAAGCCTAAACATTGTATGATTTAGGCCTTCAGTGTGGGTTGGCATGAGCGATGTCAAGTATCCATTTTGTGTGTCAGGTCCCCATCTTGTTCCCATCTTGTCCCCATGCCCTGTTGTGTAAGTATGTTGTAACCTATGACTCATACCTACCCCTCCTATGTAACTTGGTTCCTGAATGAATGGGGATGAATGAGGGTGCTTGAGAGACAATGGCAGTAGGTCTAAAAATAGCTCCCTCTGAATGACCGAACCATTAAAAACCAATACCTGAACCAACGACCCAGCCCTTGGAACCACCCGCAGCATTCAAGAAACAAAAGATGAGGCAACCCACCATTGTGCCAAGGCTTCACATGCTCAGTAACAACGCCTGGAACCCTCTGGAACAGCACTGACATTGCCTGGACAAGCTCTTCCCATAGGAGGGTAGTCTGCCCCATAAAAAGGGGTAGTGAAGACTGACTCCTTGGGGCACCCTCTCCATCTGGACCAGCACCATGTCACACCACCTATCCACCCAGATGCCCTGCTGGTGACCCCTGCACTCTGGACAACACTTTGCTGTGGAAGACCCTGACTGGCCATCGAGGATGAACTCATAGCCCAGGATAGGTAGCTATCACCCACCTTCCTGCCCCAAGCAAAGGACTTGCACTCTGTTTCTCTTCTCTACCTGGACTCCAACCCTTCCACTGAGTCTTTCTCTGGCTACCATTGTGAATGCCTGTGTGTGTGTGTGTAGGCATGGGGCTGTGTAGTGTGTTGTCTGCTTAATAAACCTGTTATTTTAAAACCCCAAGTTGGGTTTTTGTCTGTTTCCTGACTGTTTCCTCCTTACCACCACTGATCTGCCCCAAACTCTTAGCTTTCAGCCTCGGTTTCCAGCACCAAGCTCCCAGGTTTCTGCCTCTCTCTCTTTCCTGGTTGTCTCCTCCTTGCCACCAGGCTTTTTCCCCTTGCACCAGTGACCTTGAGTAAGCCTGGGGCCACTTGACCTTAAGTAACCCCAAGCTTCAGTTCCTCAACCAGCTTCTCTGCAGTCTACCGGTTCTAATCCTGGTTCCGGCAACTTTTACTCCTTACACTTTCTCTCTCACCTTAACCTTAACCTTCCCCCAGGTATTGCAAGTACCCCAAACACACGCATACATACCATACCATACCATCCGAGTTAGGAACTCACCTGTGTGTATGTGTAGGTGGGTGGTTTGTGTGTGAACTGGTGAATATACATATATATGTCATATGTGTGATATATGAATTAGTGACACTGCATGCATGTATCTGGAGCATAATCTAGATGTAGATTGTTAACTGTTCAGAGCAGACCCTGCCATATGACTGGTCTTTAAAGCACATTGTGAACTGTTAGTGTCACATAAACAATACATGACTGCATTAATAGCAGTACTGTTTTGTGTACTAGGGCTACAGGACTGGTCTCTTAATTGACACAACACTGCAGTCTACATTTCTACTTGAAACACAGGCTATATTTCCTTCTATAACACTTACACACTATATAGCTCTGATTAAGTCCCTCAGCACTTTACTTTGCAACATTCTTTGCATACCACCATTTCTTTCCTCTTTTTTGATTGGCTTTCTTCTCTGATTCCTAATATTTTTCAGTTGCAGGTCAGTCAAGTAACATAAAATTTAAAGGTACAGTATTCTAAACCATGTTCAGAATCTGTGAAAGATCACCTGTAATCCCCCCTGTGAAGCTGAGGCAGGTCAACAATTGATGAATAAGTACTTCGTAGTGGGAGTGCACTCTACATGTTCTTCTATTGAGATCACAGAGAGCGCCATACATAAAATGAGGAAGAATATGCATGGAGAGATTGCAGGGACGTGATAATTTGTTTTATTTAAATACTAAGGATGTTCATTTGCAGCTGCAAGTACAGTTTGCTATTCTTGTACGTATTACCATTTTTTTTCATTACTCCTTTTGTCCATGCTTGCCTTTGATAAATTAAGCTTTTAAATGTAATATCCTCATATATTTATATACCCAGACACATAATATGCTTAAAAGAATGTCAGCTTTTTGTTTGCTATTTTTTTTTCTTGAGTTGAGTGTTTAGCAACATGATTTTAAGTGTATTCTTGCTGACTGCATGCCTTACATTTATTATTGGGGTAAACCCTCACAGTGTTGTGAACTCTCATGGTTTTTCTTGTGACTGGTGGTGATATATAATGTTTCCTTTTTTTTTTTTTTTTTTTTTTAAAGATCCAACTCTAGGAGTTATATTATTTATTATGTGATTATTTAAACTTGATTAAAAGAATAAAAATATGTTCTGTGATTGCAACATATTTGACAGAAAACCAGTGACAAGGGCCCAACTTTTCTTACTTTTATATCTTATGAATTTGGGGGTGTCTGACTCATGATGACTTTTGAGTTTTTAAGAGTTGCCAATACTCCTAATACAGTCTCCCAATTTTCTATCAGAACAAAACCACTTATAGGCCTGGCCAGTTCATGACAGCTAAATAAAGTTAGAATAAAGCTAAATGAGCTAAACAAACTGTTTAATATGGATTAATTGCCTGATCACAGGTGATACTAGTAGTAATCTAAGTGGTGAGAGTGAGCTGGCGAGCAGGAAT